CAGAGGATGTCTTCGGCAACTACCTTTCCTTTGCGAAGTCAATTACAGCTTACCAGAATTCCCTAGTCAAGCAGTGGCAGGTACGCATTTAAGCATCTTTCATTGTCTCAGCAGCTTTAAATCTCGCTCGTAGCAGCCATTTTCTTGCAGGGCTACTTCCGGTGAAATACATGCGGCTGTACGAGAAACCACACATGCGTGTATATATATCACGTTTTGGTTCCGCTACTGGGAAATGCTGAGCAGGCTACTGCAGCAAGTACTGCTACTGAGTGCTTAAAATCATACATCCTCCGGAGGCAAGCCAACGGGACATATGCCGTGAACTTTCGTCCAGATGTTTGGGTTGTTATGCAAGAAGCCCGCCACCTAGACCAACTTGGTTTGCGTGAAGCCCCTGCGGCTGTCGTGAATGTCGCTTTGCACAAGGTGAGCATCCGAGCTGAGCTTTTGAGGTATTGGGAAGTGCTTTATGGGATCTAATTGTAGTTTGTAATCCCGGTTTGAAATTTGTTCGCATGTGGGCTGGCCAGGAGAGGTTTTGCCAGCATCAAGTTCTGCTTGAAGGGCTTGTGGACAAGTTGAACTCCACGTTGTCCAGCATCATCCCAGCCCACAACAGCTTATTGTCGCGACAAATAGCTGAGCTCCATAGGTAAGGTCTTACCTACAAACGCAACCTTGTCCCTTTTGAATACAGACATATGCGACAGGATACGAAGCCACATGTGTCAAGCTCATTGTATTGTGCAACAGCAATATCTGCGGCAGTTACAAGGACAGATCCAGCTCTTTCTGTGAGCTAATCAGCCATTGTGTGCACATCGTGAACATTTTGCAGGGCAGTTCATCCTGGTCTTACTACCTTAAATTGGACAAGCTTGGGGCTGGAGGATTTCGTCAGCTCGTGCCTGAAGTCTTTGACCATCTTCAAAGCTACGTGCGAGCAAGTTTTCAAGAACGTGGAAATCATTGAACAAATTGTTAAGGAGATCGAAAACGCACAGTTGGTTAGAGACCTTAATTGGGAGTCTTTTGAACCCTTTGCGATACAGGTGGGCCTTTGGTGGGCGGTGCTTACCTGGACGCTGCATCAGACTATTCGTCCAGCTCAGTGCAAAACCAAGGTGGCGTGTTACAGCGCGAGTACTCCTTTAGGCTTTGTCCCACTGCAGGACTTCTACGAATACATAGAGGAACACAGAGCTCGCGTAGTTGAAGGACTTCAAGGCAGATATGAGTCAATAACCTCCTACCTGAAAAAGATTGAAGAGCTGCTCGAGGGCAGGATGACTGGGTCCAGCGAAGCGATGGCTTCTTACTACCATTACTGGGAGCGTCGAATTTTTAATGCTATAGCAACGATGCTTATTAGAGGTATTCTGTCAACCTATCTTGTGCGCTACTCGCCGATAAATAAATCCACGTTTCCCCGTACTATAACCATAGGCCATTGTAGTGCAAGTGAGTCCCAACAACCTATGATTGGGGGTTAAAGTAGATGCTTGTGCAGCTGCTTGTTCCTCTTTGCAGCCACAAGTCGCTTTCGAGCTTTCTTCACCTTGTCGTCCTCAGCATGTCGTTGGCCGCCAGTCCTTCGGGTTTCGACTGAGTTAAATGATAAAGACGTTGTTATCCACGGAAGCACTCATTCCATTTTCAAAACCATATCCAGACTCATGCAGAATATTATTGCCTCGGCAATGAGCTTCTCGCGTTGGATGCATGGAACCTGCAAGTGAGTACCCGAGACTGTCTTGAGCTGCACGTGAGATGGCATCTTTCAGCCGATTGTTTCCATCGGAGCAAATAGGACTGCTTGCAAGTGTTACATTCTACAGGTGCGTTCCCATCCAGCAGCTTCCAGGGGGTGACGAGACAGCAGCAGTTCAGTTTACTTTCTACAATGAGGTTGCCCGAATACCGGCGCTCATCAGTAGCACCGTTGCAACGCATCAAGCCATCCAAAGGGCATTCCAGGTAACCATTGTTGCTGAAT